TAGATAAATTTCTAAGTAGGCTCATAGGTTAATTTTGTCTTAATTTGACAGAACTGGAGAATTTGACCAGATTTAAGAGGATAATTTAACTTCTTAAATAAAATTCCACTGGAAAATTCAAAGCACAGTCCAATGTGTTTTCAAAAAAGAGATAGCTTCCATTTCCTCAAAATAATCTGTTAGCTTGCTGCTACTCTCTCTAAATCTCCATGCTTGCTGCTATCGTTTGGCTGTGACTCCTCCCAAATCTCACCTTGAATTGGAATAATTCCCCCCTGTCGTGGGAGGGAACTGGTGGGAGGTAATTGAATCCTGGGGTGGGGTTTTTCCCCATGCTGTTCTTATGATACTGAATAAGTCTCACGAGATTGGATGGTTTTATAAAGAGCAGTTCCTCTGAACATGCTCTCTTGCCTGCTGCCATGTAAGATGTGTTTTTGCTCCTTCTTCACCTTCTGCCATGACTGGGAGGCCTCCCCAGCCATGTGGAACTGAGTTAATTAAACCTCTTTCCTTTATAAATTAACCAGTCTTGGCTGTCTTTCTTACCAGCTTGAGAACAGACCAATACACTTGCCTTCTCCTTTAGAGACTAGAATTTGTGTGCAATAAATTTTTTTAAAAGGAAACTAATTCTTCCTATATAATAAGACAGTTTTAGGATTTTGCTGAAATCACAGTCAGTAAGCGTTACTTTCTTTCTGTATAATCAAAGTGTATTTTGTTTGGAAGAGTAGCTGAAACTTTAGCTGCAACTCAGCTTTAATTAATGTTGCTTTTTGCTAGATATATTTTTCTGTGTTTTTTGTACCCTTAAGATCAGCACTTGGAGACCAGTAATTTAAAGAATGTTTTCTTTGTGCTTATTTCTTTCAGAATACCTTATTTCTTGTTGTAGAAGCCCATCACTGAATATCACAAGTTTCCTCACCAACAACTACTGTTCAATTATACTATACATGTAAAGCAGGTTTGAGCAGCTGCACAGGAATGTTTTTCCCCAAAGGGCTTTTTTCTCTTATTATACAATTCTGTTCTTATTCCTTAAACATTTCTTAAGATTTTTAATTTTTTTTTACTTTTGCAATTAATAATTTTTAAAATATCTATTTTGTGCTACTTACTATGTTAAGCAGGAAATATAGATGAGTAAGACAGTCTTTCCCTATAAATAATTTCTAATGTAGTAGGAACTTAAGACAAGTATACACTTGAGAAAAACAAAAAGTGAAAATATAATTGGTGCCATAGTGGCAATACACACACAATCTTAAATCTATTGTTGAGAGGAAGAATAGAACCATTAACTTCTGACTATGTCAGTTTGAAGTAATTTCTGTATTTTTGTTGGGAAATCAGGTAAGATGTAATTCTCTTTAGTACTTTGGATCATCCATACAAACATATATTGTATTAATATAGTATATATATATGTATATATAAAAATATATAAATAAAAATATATCTTACTGTGTGTATATACAATACACACAATATGTGTTATATGTTGTAAACATATTGTGTTTATTTATTTTATATATAACATGTTATATATATTTTATTGTACATATAATAAAATATTATAAAATGGAAGGACATTCTCACATGCTACAATATGGATGAAACTTGAAGACAGTATGTTAAGTGAAATAAGCCAGTCACTAAAAGACAAATACGGCATGATTCCACTTATATGAGATACATAAAGTAGTTAAAATCATAGAGACAGAAAGCAGGTTGGTGTTTGCCAGGGAGTACAGGGAGAGTGTGACAGGGAGTTACCATTTACGTATAAGTTTTGCAAGATGGTAAGAATTCTGGAGCTGGATGGTGGTGATAGTTGAATGTATTTAACTACTGAACTGTATATTGAAAACCTGGTTAAGACAGTAAATTTTATGTTATATATATTTTACCAAGATAAAAAAATGAGAAAAAACAAAAGAGTGCATATATTGTATTATATTCTGCAGTGGGGAAAACTGATTAATGAAAATATAATGAAATAATAGCAGCAACTGCTAGGTCTTATGTTATCTGCAGAAAGTACTAGGGTAGTGTGGATGCAGAGATGAGGGTGTGGATAGTATTGTCCACTGTGAATAAAGATGAGAGGGGTAGGAAAAGGGGCAGAGATGTCTTTTAAAGCTTTGTAAAATAATCAACATTTGAGATAACCTTGAAAAATAAATAGACTTTTTAAAGATAACAGAGAAAGTATTTTAGGCAGAGAAATAGAGGTAGTAAAAGGATGGAATTTAGGTAAACAGAAAATTTCTGTTTAGATGAAACATAGAGTGAATGGAAGAAAATGGTAAGAGATGATGTTAGTGAAATAGATATCCGGAGGTTGCACTGTCCACTATGTTAGAGAGTTTCGATTTCATTATAAATCAATGGTCTTAACCAGCAATGGATTTCAGAATCACTTGTGGAGCTTTGAGAAATTCATATGCCCATATGTCTCATGGGAGATTTGACTTAGTAGATCCAGAGTAGAGCCTGGGCTTGTAAATGTTGTCAAAACTCTACAGGTGATTAATATGTGCTCCCAGAATCACTACTGTACATAATAAGACATTACTGGGATTTTTGTTTTTAAGGTCTGAGATGTGATAAGGTTCACTTATATAGCTCTGATGGCAATACGATGGATGACCTGGAAAGCGTGGAACCTGAAGATAAGGAGACAAGATAAAAGACTACTAAATGAATGATTTGTATTAAGACATTGGCAATAGGAAGAAAAAAGACAAGAGATTGGAGAAGCATTTCGAAAGTGAAAATGATGGTATTTGGTGGTCAATGAGATTCTATTTGTAGAAGAGGAATAAATAAAAGACAGTGCTCATATTTCTACATCAGATAACTGGGTGATGATGGATCTATTAACTGAGATAGTAAATGCTAGCATAGGTACTAAATGCTATATCTGACAGAATCGTTGTCAAAAGAGTAGATACTCATAAGTGCTTGTTGAATGAATTAAAAAACCCTAATAAATCAACTGGTCATATAATTTTGGATGAAAAAAAAGAATATGTAACAGTTTGTTCCTAGAAGGAACCTTTATTGGTTTTTGACAAATCTAGATGCCTTGGGGCAGGTGGAATAGCAGACTGAGGCAAGAGACATGCAAAGCAGAGGAAAAAAAAAAATAGAAGAAGCACAAATGTTGGAAAATTTAAGCTGGGCTCCAGGAACAATGAATGGTTTAGTTTGCTTCTAGAATAGTAAGAGATAAAACCAAGAAGATATAGTGACACCATTATGTGGTATGTCTGAAAGTCAGGCTGAGGTAGTTTTAATTAATTCAGTAGGCATTGATGAGTCAGGACTTTTGGACAGAGGTCTTCCATGTTTTTAAGATCTTGTTTTTCTGGAAAACTTATAATAGCCCTTCTGGCCTGGTAGTGCTGGAACTCAGTATTTTCAGATAGGAAGTAGTCAAGGTTAAAATTACCATATTACATAGCAATTTGTGTGTCAGATGATGTCTGGCAATCAGCTAGATGTCATGATACATTTAATTGAACCAACCTTTTTGTCACTAACTTGAATGTTACTTTTATCATAAACTATATCCCCATATAGATTTGTGCCTATCTCTGGATTTTTCTATTTCATTCCATTTTGTACAAAATCTGCTGTATTTATTTGAGATGCTTTGAATTTATAATTTGAGAAAAACTGGCATTTTTACAATATTCAGTTTGCTAAAAAGAATAGCTACTTAAACTTTCTTCTGTATCCCTCAGTGGAAGATAATTACTTTTTCATATACATCTGAAACTTGTCTTTTTTAGCTTATAACCCTGTTGTTTTTTTTGAGTTGCTATCGTCAATAGTATTACTTCTTGCACTGTAACTGTGTATGTGTGCGTAAATAAGAAGTCTTCCTAGATGAACAATTAAAATTGAAAAGAAAAAAACAAAAGCAAATTGAAATATTTTCAATAGCATCTGACCTTCACTGAGTTAATGTATATGTAAAAATCATTTTGGATATTATTATTATAGAACACAAAGAATGCTGTTTGTTTTGCCTATGTATTGTCAAAGTTTTCCTTACATAAGATAATCTGTGATTATATGTACAGCTAAAGTGTGGTATTTCTTCAATCAGTCCTGGTCACCACCAGCGGGAGCTTCATTTCCCTCCTAGTATCACACAAAGCCCCACCTAGATTTTCGCTCTTTCCACAGAAAAACTGCCCTTTTTAGCCCTCTGGTTGAGTTCATGAACATTCTCCTTGGTTTTTCAGTGTCTCCTCTCAAGGTGTTGGTGGGACAGAATGAAAGATACTGTAGCCATAGGAATAAATCCCCACTGTAAACAGTCATCAGGGTCAGAAATATCTTCAGATAGTTTGATGCAGCTATGAGTCAGAAAAGGTTTTGTTTTTATCTTATCCTTTCACTCGGTTATTTGAAAATTTTTCAATTTGAACAACCTGTTTAACAAATCTTCTGGATGAGGGGGTCCACAAACTTTTTTCATAAATGGCCAAATTGAAAATATTTTAGACTTTACTGGCCATATGGTTTCTGTTGCTACTTAATTCTGCTGTGGTAGTGTTAAAGCTGTCAAAGACAGTAATGAGGTGGGTATATTCCAAAAGTTGATTTACTAAACAAGCCGTGGGCCAGATTTGGCCCATGAGTCCTAGTTTCTAGATCCCTATTTTAGATCAGTAAACTTCCAACCCATTCATTATTTATATTTTAAAAAATCAAAAGCAATGCACTAGTTTCCATGGAAGAAATGATGACAAAATGCAAAGCACTGAAATGAACAAAATGCAGAAAAATCACCAAAATGACTTCTTATCAATCCCGAAATAATGGTACTGTATATAAATAGCATTTTTTTAAATGAAGCACAAGCAGGATTGTAGCATAATGTAAACACATATATTACATGGTGGTATGGTCACTGCTTTGGGCAGAAGGACAGACTTGACTGGAGAACCATCGTTATCAGTAATAGGAGTATTTGCTCTAACTTACCAATCTTGTACTGCATTGAAGGATTCTTCATTTGTAATGTCATACATTAAAATAAAGCCCATGGCTCCACGATAATAGGCTGTAGTGATAGTCCGGTATCTTTCCTGGCCTGCTGTGTCCTAAAGAATAAAAAAAAAAATCTCTCAGAAATAAGGCAATACATTTTTGGGAAGCGATTAATAATTCCAAAAAAGTCACAATAGTGTAAAATGTACTTGCTGTGTAAAACTGTTTATCTTTTGTCTTGTTTCTGCTAATTTTTAAAAACAACACTTTTTTGCAGCCATATAACAGATGTAGATATTTTCAGGGTACACGTAATAATTTAATATATTTATATATTTTATAAAGATCAAATCAGTGTAATCAGGAAAGACATAATTTTAAATATTTGTCTTTTCTTTATGCAGAAACATTCAAATTATTCTCTCCTATCTACTTTAAAATATACAATCGATTACTATAAATTATAGTCACCCTAAAGATTTATCAAATACTATGTCTTATTTCTTCTACTAAGCTCTATGTTTGTACTTCAGAAGACCAACTCTAAATATTATTGGTGTTCAAAAGAGTTGATCAGAAACAAGGGATAGAAAGCTTATTTAAGGAAATAATAAGAGAAAACTTTCCAAAGCCTGAAAAATAGATAAATATCCAGGTGTAGCAAGGTCAGGGAATATCAAACAGATTTGACCCAAATAAGACTACCCCAAGGCATGTAATAGTCAGACTCTCAAAGGTCAAGGGCAAATGGAGAATCCTAAAAGCAGCAAGCACAAAGAAGCAAATAACATATAAAGGAACTCCAATTTGTCTGACAACTTCTCAGTGAAAACCATAAAGGCCAGAAGAGAGTGGGACTGTTGTTTTTAAAGTGCTAACAGAGAAACTTGCCATCCAAGAATACTGTATCCAGCAAAAATATCCTTTATCTATGAAAGAGATGAAGTCTTTCCCAGACAAACAAAACCTGAAGGAATTCAACACCACCAGACCCATCTACAAATGTTAAAGGGAGTTCTTCAATCTGCAAAGAAAACCTATTAATATGCAAATAGAAGACACTTGAAGGTATAATCCCCACTAAAAAAATTAAGTGCATAGAAAAACTGACAATACTCTATAATTGTGGTGGCAATCCCCTCAGGATTCTAGTATAAAGCCCAAAAGACAAATCTAAACAACAATAGTTACAGCAACCTGTTAAGAGAAAGGTAATATATATGTAAATTGTAATAACACAGGGTCAAAATGTGGGAGGACAGTTTTAAAGTGCAGAGGGGTTTTTTTTTTTCCATTTTTTCTTTGTTTCTGTTCTTTTCTTTGTGATCTAGGATAAGTTGCTATCTCTTTTAAATCACTTATTATGTCCTAATGATATCTATATGGCAGCTTTGCAATATTCTGAAAAAAAGTTTTTTTGGTAAAGAACCAGCTCAAAGTACCTTCTATGTTTATTTACTTTCATTATCAGCATCTAACTGCAGAAAATAAAATAAAAAGAAAGATCAGACATATTTAAAATCTGAGCTTTTACTATAGTTTAAGATCAGGGAGTATATTAGCTCCACCATGTGCATTTATCTGCTAAGTACAAGCCAGTGTGGGGACAAAAAGGAAGTTTATAAAAATGTCCCTGCTTTTAAGAAGCTTGCAATTCAGTCTCGGTTTATTCAACTCTAAGATGGGAATATAAATACCTGCTTTGTATGTGTGTTTCAGTCAGATAGATCTGGATTTGAGGTCCTTCTCTCCCATTAGATAGCTGAGGAATGTGGACAAGTTACTGAACCTCTGTAAACCATATCCCTCTAACATTTAGCATGCTTGCTAGGGTTCTGTGAAGTAATTCATGTGAAGTGCTTCCCATAGAGAGCATCACACAAAAATTGGTCAATAAATGGCAAGTACTAGCTTTTATTCCTGAAATGTGGGACAGCCAGGCTAACAGAAGATAAAGATAGCCGCTTACAAGTACAGAAGTTTGATACTTTCAAAAGGGGTAGCATATAACAGTTTAATTGTTCCTTACTTCAAATTCCCTCCTCAGGACCTGGGGCATCACTTACAAATGCTTTTCAGTTTCTCTCTTTGCCCCTTTCTCTGGAGACTGGCATCTGGCTTATCTTTCCTAGTACTCTTTAGATGCTTAGCAGTTTGGACAGAAATATTATCTTCTTTCAACTTTAGTCTGGACTCTCGTATCTCAGAGATGCCTCCTTTGGGTGCAGAGTGCTTCCCAGCTACCAAGGTTTAACAGGCCTTGGAGGGAAAACTAATGTGTTGCACATAAGAACAGCTCCCTTTACCATCAAAACAAAACTAACATCTCATAAGGTCACTACTGGGAAGGGCTCATGTTGAATTTGCTGTTCTTTACCCATAGGTATGTACCTGCTTAGATGCTTACACTCCACCATGAACGGCAGTGTGAAACTAAAGATTGCCTACTACTTTCTCCCAATTTGTGTGGTATATCCCATTTGGCTCCTGAAAGTCTATAGAAGAGTGATGAAAGGAGGCTGGGAATCAGTGAATGCTTCTGGAAGAATGTAGGGTATAAAATGGAACTGAAAATTAGCTAAGGGTGTGAATTTTTGTGAAGCCAACAATTGTATTCTACTCTTGGAGCAGGGATAAGGTTGGCCTGATTAGAAGATATTTATTTGGTAATTTTACAGAAAATAAAGTTTCAAAAGTAGGATGAAAACAGATTCTAGTACTCAAAATATCAGAAATAATGTAAAACAGGTGAGGAAGATCTTTCAGAACATAGTCCCAATGGCAGAAAACAAACAAACAAAAAGATTATAACCACACAAAAATCTGTCAATTCCTTGAACATAAAAAAAGTAAAATTAAAATGTTAGAACATCAAATGTTAAACTGATAAAGTATATTTGCATTAGACGAAAGAGACCAAAGATTAATATATTTAATATGTAAAATGGTGTTAAGAAATCACTAAAAAAAGTTAAATATTCTAATAGTAAAAATTACTTATAAATAGGCATATAAATGGCTAATTAATTTATAAAAGAGTTGAACCCAAGCCATAATAATAGATATGCAATGCTGCATAATTGCATGACTATATAATATAAATTACTTGGCCATTATTTGAACATTTTATTGTACTTTGCCTACTATTTTATAAATAGTAAAAATAAAAATGTAGATGCTAGGGATAAACAAAGATGTCATAAACTATATCATAGGGGCAAATATACAAACTATGCAGAAAGAAGCAAATCTTGAACTTATTTGGATATTCTTACATATTCATTGGATTTAATTCAGTTAGCAGTATATCCAACTGTGAAACAAAGAAGAAAGTTAGATCAACATGGATAAAATGCCAGAACCAAACTTCCAAAGACCATTTATAATGCAAAGTATAAGCGAGGCTTTTGTGATATGAGTAAGCTTTCCAGGGAGCAGAACCCCTTATAACTATTCAGTCTTTTCAGTCTATTTAAAAATTTTCCCACATTTGGCTTGGGTTCATATTTTCCAGAACATATTATCTATAAATGTAATTTACCTTTTTTTTTTTGTTTGTGCCTATTTTAAAATAAATTTAAATGGCTTTCTTTTTCTCTTGGTCACACTTTTTTTTTTTTTTTTGCATTGATTATATAGTGTTTTTACAGGTTGGGACCCCAAGCCTGCTGCCTTCTCCGCACTACAATAGACAGCTTCCCCCTAATTTCTCAATAGGGGAAAACAACCAATTTACCCAGATACTGCTAAAAGGTGACCTAGACCTTTTCTGTCAAGCATGTTTTCAGCACAGACACTGAATAATGTTGTGTTGAAAAACTGACTTTATCTATCTCTTTCTTCTTGACCTCTTTCAGTGACGGTATCCCCTTTTCATAAAATGCTAATTTCATTTTGACAGTAAAGAAACTTGTTCTAGTGTTATGAAATACATCAATTTCATGTTGTGGTCATATTTAATCTTTGAGAGAGAAGAAATCAAGTCGCCATTATATTCTGATTGAAATGTTACAGGAAACTTAGAAACCACAGGGCTGAATAGCCATTATGTATCAAAATCAAAAAAGAGAGAGGGGAAAACCAGCTTTCAAGAAAAAAAAAAATAGAAGCTTTCTGATAGTACTTAAGTCATAGCAAGGGGCAAGATCTTCAACATCATTCTGATTTGAACCCAGAAACACAATCTAACTGGTAATATTTATCACTTAAAAGCTCTCAGGGAGAATAAGAAATTGCACTAAGTAGGGAAAGTATAGTAAGAAATAAAATGAGAAAATTTCTTCTCCAAATATAAAGAATAAAATTAAGCTAATACACAGACATCAGGTTGGCTTTGTTTTGGCTTTGAAAACAATTTCAGGATTATAAACTCATTAGCATTTTCTTCCGTTATATAAGGAAGAAAAGGAAGTGGAAAAAACACTTCATTACAATTGACATTTATTAATGATGACAGAAAGTTATATTTGAAAGAAAAAAAACATTTTATAATGTCAAGTGCCTCTAATGTAATTAAACTTGAACAGTCTCAGGTAACTAACTAAAATGGTATCTCTTCCCAATTTGCCCAGGAAGCTGGCTCAAAATCCTGGCTTCGTGTTGTTCCTCTGCCTAGCTGGATCTAATAACTGGGTATACTTGCTGACTTTCCATAAATGTAGGCTTCTGAAGATTGAAAAACAACTGGAAATCTCAGAGAGAAAATGAGGGATACAAATGTGATTAAAAAAAAAAAAAACTTTCTTCCATGAGTGATAGCTTTCATTTTCTTCTTTTTTAAAAACAAAATTATTTTAGTTAAATATTTTGATTTCCCAATCATGTTTTTAGGATAATTGTGGCATTAATGGCAGGTTTGATTAACAAATACTTAAATACCTGTCAAGAAAAAAACAAACTTTAAAATGAAAAACATTCACAGCTTGGTAAGTAGTAGCCTAAAACATTTTTGGTTTGAATTTGGCACACTTATGTTTGTTTCTGACTTATAATTTTTTTTTCTGATGAAATCTTTCTTTTTTAAAATAAATAAATAAATGGTGATATTCTCAAAACCTTTTGAGGTCATGCAGAAGTAACACTTAGCTTTAAAAATTGAGGAAATGGTCATTTG